GGAGGTCTAGACTAGAGTAAGGTACAGTCAGAGCCCTTTTCAGTAATTTCCCTGCTTCAAAGATCTGTTTTCTAGGGTGAGAATGCCTCAGGGTATGAAGAGGAATAGTCTTGGTTGAGTCTAGGACCAGACGACTTTTGGAGTTTCTATTCAGATGATTTGTTTTTGGTTTGGTGAGCAGAGTAAATTATCCAATGACTGGAATCTACTTAGAGTGTGCCAGGCACATTACCAAGTACTTAATGAATGACACACCTCATTAGTCCTCACAATAATCTTATAAAATAGATCCTCTTTATTCTGCTAATAGTATTTATAGATTAGAAGACTGAGATTCAAGCAGGTTAATCAACTTGTCCAAGGTCAGATAGCTCAAAACTGTCAGATGGATTTGAGCCCATCTGTCTGATTCTGAAACTCATGTTTTCATGTATTGGCGTACATGGGGTCCCCTCTAAGCTGTCCAAGAGGAAACCTAGCTTGCTTTCACTGCCAAAACTTGCCTTCTTAAATATTCCCCTTCCTTCCAGCCCTAGGCAAAATAGCAACAAGGGCAGCTGGACTTTCTCCTTCTCCTCTTCCCTCTACCCCAGCTCCTATCATCTGCACCCCAGCTCCCTCATCTTCCCAGCCCCCATTTCCTTCCCACCTCCCCTAACCTCCATGTTCTTTCCTCATCTCCTTCTCACCTCCCTCACATCTTGCCCTGTTCCCTTATTTCCACCTCAGCTCCCTTCATCTCCATCCCAGTTCCCTCACCTCCTTCCCAGTTGTCTCATCTGCATCTCAGTTCCCTTCATCTCTGTCTCGGTTCCCTCATCTCCTTCCCACCTACCTTCCTGTCCACGCAATCTCCCCTAATTTCCTTCCCAACTCCCTCATCTCCATCACAGCTCCCTTCCTCTCTATCTCAGCTCTCTATGCTTTATGGTTTTTCTTCCCTCTTGCATTTGGAGACACAGGTTTTCTCTGCTTCTTTCCCCAAAATCAAATCTAGCCTCAGGAAGTACCAACACAGTAAGCTAGAGAAGGATTGAAATCTTAAGATAAAGTTCTAAGGGTGGGATTTCAGGCGTCCTCCAGCATTGAGGAGAACTGAGTGGGGGGCTGCAAAGTCAGCCTCTTTCCTTGCAGGCTGATGTGTACAGCAAGGTCATCCCCAGCAACTCTTCTGCTGTACCAGAGGCAACTCACCTGCTTTGAATCTCTCTTGGAAATTGTATAAGCTGATCTCCGAGATTCTTCCCCCCTCACCCACTCTTGTCCAGTTTTCTACAAGAAAAACAAGAGGGAGGAAAGGAAGGAGAGTAAATTAAGCAGTGACAGCTCATGCTCAGGTGATTTCCACGGGAGATTACTGGAGCAGCCTTAAGACCTGAGAGAGTCCCTCCTTCAGGCTGCCCCTAACATTTTCAGGGCCTCGGGCAAGGGTACAAATGAAAGGTCACATGCCACACGTTTAAATTTATAAACACGATAAATCATGGTAACACATTGTTAAACAAAATGTATTTTATTGTACAAATATATTTTGCAAATATACCTTTGAAATGACAAAATCGAAAACTGTGTGTAATGCTATGCTTTGCTAGGCCTGAAAGTTGGCAAAATAACAAAGATGACTGAATTTAATTATAATTGTTCAGGTCTGTATTTTTTGGTGGGATAACATGTTTTGATGAATAATAACATTTTAATGAGTAATAGCAAGAAAACATAAATAACTCACAATTACTTCCTAAAAGTTAGTTTTAGTGCATTCAGGCTGTTATAACAAAATACCACAGACTGAGTGCTGATAAATCTATAGACATCACCTCACTAATTCCTGATATTTGTAATTTGTGTCTGCTCTCTCTTTTTTCTGATCTGTCTACCTAGAGGTTTCTCAGTTTTATTGATCTCAAAGAGCTTTTGGTTTCATTGACTTTCACTATTGTTTTTCTGTTTCATATATTTCTGTTCTAATCTTTTATTTCCTTTCTTTTATTTATTCTGTGTTTAACTTGCTTTTCTGTTTCTAATTTCTTAAAGTGGAAGTTGAAGCTACTGATTTGAAAGCTTTCTTTGCCAATATAGGTATTTTGTGCTATAAATCTCCCTTTACACACTGCTTTAGTGGCATCCTACAAATCTTATCTTGTATTTTCATTTTCAAACAGCTTGAAATATTTTCTAATTTCTTTTTTGACCAATGGGTGATTTAAGAGTGTTAGTTTCCAGACATTTGTAGATTTTTCAGGTTGTTGTTTTTTTTTCCATTGGTTTCTAATTTAATCCCACTGTGGTCAGAAAGCGTATCTTATTTGATTTGAATAATTTTAAATTTATTCAGAAAAATATGGCCTATTTTGACCAATGTTCTGTGTGTATCTTAAAAATGTGTATTCTGGGCCGGCCGAGTGGCGCATTGGTTAAGAGCTGGCTTGGGACACCAGCTCTGAGCAGCAGGGCCCCAGTTCAGATCCCACATCAGGGCCAGTGACACTGCGCCCTCTACAGCTAAGATGGTGAGCAGCAGCTCGACCTGGAGCTGGGCTGCCGTGAGTTGCCGACAACGGCATAGGCTGCAGCCCCTGCTGCAGTGGGCTGCCATAAGCTACCGTGTGTGGCCGGCAGCCAGCGTGAGTGGCCGGCAGCCGGTGTGAGCTGCCAAGAGCCGCTGTGAGTGGCCGTCCAGAGGCCGGCAACCAAACTGCCTCATCCGGGAAGAGCACAATGATAATACCAACATGGGCCAGTGAAGCAACGTCCTCCACAACTAGACTGAAGAACAAAAGGACAGCAACTTGTCTGTTCCCCCTCCCCCAATTCCCCAATAAAATCTTAAAAAAAAAAAAAGTGTATTCTGCTGTTGTTGGGTAGTGGTCTATAAGTATTATATAAGATTGTGTTAATTGGAAATGTTATTCAAGTCTTCTAAATCCTTACTGATATTTTCCACATTTTCTACCAATTATGGAAAGAAAGGTATTGAAATCCCCAAGTATATTAATGAATTTTTTAATTTATCCTTGCAGCTCTATCAGTACTTATTTATGTATTTTGAAGCTGTTTTTTGGTACATAATCATTAAGGATTGTTATATACTCTTGATAAATTGACTCATTCATCAATATGAAATGGCCTTTATTTATCCCTAGTAATACTATTTGCACTGAAATTTACTTTGTCTGATATCAAAGTATATATCCCATCTTTATTTTTTCTTTTTTAATTGAAGTTTATTGGGGTGACAATGGTTAGTAAAGTTACATAGGTTTCAAGTGTACGATTCTATAATACATCATCTATATATCACATCGTGTGTTCACCACCCATGGACAGTTCTCTTTCCATCACAATATATTTGATCCCTTTTACCTTCATCTACCACACCCCAACCCCCTCTGGTAACCACTATTGTCTGTGTCTATGAGTTTTTGTTTCATTTGTTTGTTTTGTTCCTTTGTTGTTTTCAGTTTTATATACCACGTATCAGTGAAATCATATGGTTCTCGACTTTTTCTGATTTATTTCGCTTAGCATAATAATCTCAAGATCCATCCATGTTGTCACAAATGGCACTATTTCATCTTTTCTTATGGCAGAATAGTATTCCATTGTGTATATATAGCACAACTTCTTTATCTAATCATCTATCGAAGGACACTTTCATTGTTACCATCATTCTTTTGATCAGTATTAATATATCAGTTTCCATCCTTTTACTTTAATCTATTGGTGCCTTTGTATTTAAAGTGGGCTTCTTATAGGCAGCTTTTTTACACAATCTGATAACTCTGCTTTAAATTAGGGTGTTTAAACAATTTACATTTAATGCGATCATTGATGTGGTTGAGTTTAATCTACCCTCTTGCTAATTGTTTTCTATTTGCCCCCAGGAGTTCTTTGGGTTTGGTTTTTTTTTCTTTGCTTTTGTGTTCTTAGGGATTGAGTATTTTTATGATTTCACGCTATAAACTCTATACTACATTGTTTATTTGTTTGTTTAAAAGGTCAATTATCTTTTGAAGAGATTTAAATTTTAAAATAGTTATTATTTCTGGTGTAGATATGGATTCTTTTGTGTAGATACAGATGTCCATCTGGTATTACTTTCCTTCTGCCTAAAAAACTGACATTTCAAAGAAATGAGCTATCGAGCCACGAAAAGACACGGAGGAATCTTAAATGTATTATTTCTAAGTGAAAGAAGTCAGTGTGAAAAGTCTACATACTTTATGTTGCCAACTATGTGACATTCTGAAAAAGGCAAAACTAAGAAGATAGTAAAAAGATCAGTGTGGTCAGGGGTTCGGACAGAAGAGGGGACAGAGCATTTTTAGGGCTGTGAAACTGTGAGACTATAATAGTGGATACATGACTATGCATTTGTTAAAACCCATAGAACTGTACAACACAAAGAGTAAATCCTAATGTAAAGTGTGGACTTTAGTACATATTGTACCAGTATTTGTTTATCAATGATAATGAATGTACCACACTAATGAAGATGTTAGTAAAGGGAGAAATTGTGGGGTAGGGTAGGAAGTATAAGGGAATTCTCTGTCCTTTCTTTTATATTCTGTAAACCTAAAACTACTCTAAAAATTAAAATAAATCCACTTATATTTCTTGTAGTGCAGATCTGCTGGTGATTAATTCTTTCAGCTTTTGTATGTCTGGAAATATTTGTTTCCCCTTCATTTTTGAAAGATACTTGTACTGGTTATATAATTTCTGTTGACAGGTTTGTTTGTTTTTTAAGATTTTGCTCCACTCTCTTCTCATGTGTTTTAAGAGAAATCTGCTTATCTTTCTGATTTTTATTCTCTGTGCATGTTTCTTCTCTGGCTGCTTTTAAGAGTTTCTCTTTGTCACTATGTTCCAATCAAGGTTCAAGCAGAAAATCAGAACCAGGAGACATATATTAACTCTTTCACTGCATTAACTGATTTCAAGTTTTGTTTTCAAAATGTGTCAGAAATCCACAAAAAACAAAAAGTTGATATTTTGACTATTTTAATCATTTAATAACAAATTTGAGCTGCTTTGTATATAAATGACATTTTTATGTAGGAAAATGTCCTATTGCTATTAATTCATGAAAAACACAAACAAATATAGAAAAATGTACATCCACTTTCCTAAACTTCCTTTCTGGAACACTGACAGGATTTTTTGTGTTTTACTTTTGAGTGGTAATTCTCAAAACAAGGAACAACACACGTTGCTGGATTTCCAGGACACATAGCACAATAAAACGTGGTTTGTTTGCGTTTGCAAACACCTTTCCCCTTTTTTTGCACATTGTGAGGGCATAATGCTGCACATGCAGCAATTAGGCTTCTTTTTCTTATCCTCAAATTCCCTGGGAAGATGGTGCTCTGTCAGCCTAATCTCTTTTGGTGTAGACATCCTGCAACCCCTCTTATGTCCATCTTTTCTTGAAAATCCATCTAATAAGCCCTCTATAACTTTTTCCCTGAATTTCTGTTGGGTCAAGTTCTTGCTGGGTTTTGAATGTTGTAACATATATAGCCATTTACTAGAGCCACTTCAATGAGAAAATGCCATATGGTTTGATACCACTTCATAGGCTTCCTGTCAAAAGGATAAGTGGCACAGAGCTGATCAAAACAATCAACTCCACACATAAATGAATTGTATAGAATTTGAATATTTGGTTTCAACACAGTTCTCTCATTCCCTTTTTTGATCTTACAAGCACTTCACTGACACCACCATTCCCAACAGTGGAGATCATGTTAACTCTCCCTGTCTCCTGCCAAGTGCAAGCAAGCAGTGGTTGATCATGATTTTCCCATATCACGGGGAGGTCACCAGGCTTCAGCTTGCAAATCCTCATATCTGAAGGCAGTCCTCTCCTATTGGCACGCACTGTACCACATGCTCCGCTTTTTTTCAATCTTAGACTCTCAAAAAGTTCTATACTTGAATAAAAACTGTCTGTACAAACTACATGTCCCTTCAAATTCATTCAGCAAGCTGGATACCACCCTTGCTCCCAACCCAACTTTTCCATCTTGAGCTGAATCTTTGCCTGTGTAAACATCAAAGCACAACAGAAATCCTGTTCATGAATCACAGAGTGACCAAATCTTTATGCCCCACTTTATACTTGGTTTACTGGAAAGATATTGCTTGATAAATAGACACCCCTTGAATTTCAACATGGACTCACCCACACACAATTCCTTATTGCTATTATAGAAGGAAATATATGTAACCTTCACAAAATCTATTTATGGGCCTGATTTTTGGAAGCCGATCAGTCTTTGATAATTCATCATCATTATTGGAAAAATGAAGAAAGGACCTAATTGGATGATATTCATCCCTTGTAAAAATAGTGTTGAAACCAGGAGTTTGAGTCAACCAACAGGTATCCTGAAAGTATGATTCTAATGTTGGCTTGTGTACCAACCCCATTGCAATTTCAAAAGTTACAAACGCCTTCATCATTTGGTCATCAACACCTTGCCACTTGTTAAACCTAGACCTAGGCGAGAGTTTTTCAATCCAAGATAGAATGCTTTCAGCATATCTGTTTGTTTCATTGGCAATAAGCTCAAAAATAGACGAAGGAAGAAATTGAGTAAAATATCCATATGGTTCTAAATTGTTGAAACCAAGAACACTGTGTTTTCCGGTAAAGTCTGGAATAGAGTCTAATTCAGGTAAAGAATTATCTTTCACGTTTCCAATCCTATGCCAAGATGTCAAGGAATGTGACGCACTGCTTGTAGACAGAGATGGCTCAACTGATATTACATCGTCAGTGTCCTACTGTGCTTCCTCCTCCGTATCATCATCGTCTTCACAGTCAATTTCGCTATCTTCTTGCAAGGCCCTTTCTATTTCTTCATCATCAATTTTTCTTTTTCTCTTCACTCCACCCATTTCTGAACTGGGAGAAAAAAATATTTCTTATATGAGACACTTCTGCCATTGAACTGTACATATGCATATATCTTTCAATAATGGGATGTATTACTTCAGCATGCTATGAAACACACATAAAATTAAAACTTACCTAATACGCAGCAGAGAAAACTAATGTAATGATGAAGAAACTCCAATCTTTCGTAAGAACTGCAAAATAACCACATCACCCACTGGGCACCGGAGCACAAAAGGCAGGTCGCGATGGCGGTGACGTGGCAAACGTAAACCTGGGTGTTTCCTGTTCTTACACATTTAGGCAGCACTCACGGACTCTTCCAGCGCTGGAGTCAAGTGCCTGGGAATATACTTTGAACTCCGCTGTAGAGGGAAAAGTTTTTTTGAGCTGGTAGGGTAAACTCTAACGCTGCAGTCTGCTGATAGAGCTATTCATTCGACTATATTCTACCGTCGGGTTGAAAGGGTTAAGAGATTTATTGCAAGGAATTGGCTTATGAGATTTGGGGGATGGCTAGGCAAGTCTGAAATACACAGGGCAGGTATTTAGAACTCTAGAACTCTCAGGCACAGGCTGAGGCTGCAGTCCACAGGCGGGATTTCATCTTCTCCTGGGGACAAGTTAAACCTGACCTCTACTTGGGGAAGATAGTGGGGACTGTGGTCCACTTCTGTCCTTGACCAGTTCATTTCATTCCAGCTCCTTTCTGATCTGTTTCGGATCCTTTTGGCCTTTTGGTACTACTGCTGGAATCTGCAAGTCGACTTCCATTCCCAGTGTATTTTCTGGAGATAAAGGTGGAAACAGACAACATTAAGAAACATATCTTATGTATTTCTGGTGTATCATGGTTCAATATTTGTTTTAGAACCTCGAATAGAAAGCTGAATGAAACTAGGGTGCTTGAGGGGCCGGCCAAGTGGCACACTGGTTAGGAGCTGGCTTGGGACACCTGCTCTGAGCAGCAGGGCCCTGGTTCAGATCCCACATGGGGGCCAGTGACACTGCCCTCTACAGCTAAGATGGTGAACAACAGCTCGACCTGGAGCTGGACTGCTGTGAGTCGCCGGTGACAGCATAGGCTGCAGCCCCTACAGCAGTAGGCTGCCATAAGCTGCCATAAGCTGGCCGGCAGCCAGCATGAGTGGCCAGCAGCCGGTGTGAGCTGCCAAGAGCCACCGTGAGCGGCCGTCCAGAGGCTGGTGACTGATCTGCCTCACCCGGGAAGAGCGCAATGATGATACCAACATGGGCCAGTGAAACAATGTCCTCCACAACTAGACTGAAGAACAAAAGGACAGCAACTTGTCTGTTCCCCTTCCCCGATTCCCCAACGCTGTTCCCCTCCTCCAATTCCCCAATAAAATCTTTAAAAAAAAGAAAAGAAACTAGGGTGCTTGACATTGTCATCCTGAAAGACACTGAAGAGAGAATTAATTAAGTCTATTTCATGGAATTCATGGGCTGAGAGCCTATTTCTCTCTTAGAAAGAATCCTGAATGGAAGTCTTGGTTAGATCATCCCTGGGGCCTAAACATAAGCTATCATAAAACTGTCACGGATTCAGTTTCATGTAGATCCAGAATATTATATTAAATTATGCACTTCTCCCTTACCCCACCACCCTGTACCTCCCTTTCCTCTATTTTAAGGAAAAAAGTCAATTTAGAAGTCTTCCTCCACATGATTCTCCCCCTCTTACTTTTTATCCTTAAAATGTTCACCTGGAGCAACAGCATGATTCTATGGACTCCTGGTTCTCTAACCTGATGGCCCATGCACTGTAAAAGCACTCAGAGGGCAACCAGGCAGGCTGGCTCAGACTCAGGCTCTTTAACCAACACCGGTGTGATGGTCCCCATCACAGTCGTCTCTCCTCACCACCACAATCATTTGGAAACAGCAACCACATTCTTAGATGCTTGCTTTCTATCATTCTTTATCATGGACTTTTTTCTCCTAGTTAGAAACTCTTGAGGATTTGCTAAAACTAGAAAGCAATTTTGACTTTCTCTCTTTTTATCCTTAATGACTAGCACATCATGATCAATAAGAGGAAATCAGCAACGTTCGGAGCACAAGTTTTATTATAAAGAGACTTCGGTTCAGTCCTTTTCTCCCGCTTCCTAGTTTTCACATTGGAGAAGTGGTTTAATCTTCTTGAGCCTGTTTCCTTATTTATTTAAAAGAAAAAAGGGGGGGGATAATACCTAGGCATTTTGTGAGAATTAGCTGATATAGTATACCTAAAGCATTTACACAGTGCTTGCTATACAGCAGCTGTTCAGTGAATGATAGCTATTATTGCTAAATTCTTCTATCAATAGCATGAAAGTGGAATTATCTGGTGTTTCTAGACTCCCTAAGGAACACAAAGAAAGCACCCATAATTAATATCCATGGCTGCTTGAAAGAGTATGTTATCTAAGTGGAAGATGTTACATAAGCCAAGGATGCTGTGGTATATTATTAACAGGACCTTTTCAGTTGCAAGTAAAGGAGAATCTTAACTCAAATGGTCTAAACAGGGGAATGAAACATCTCACTTAACAAGTCTGGGTGTAGGGCAGTTCCATCTTTCATTTAATTCAGAAGCTCAACAACATCATTGAGTCTGTTCTTTCCACCTCCTGCTCTGCCGTCCTGGATGTGACCTAGTCCACCCTCAGGTCAGCTCATCCATGATTCTAAACAGCTATAGCAGTTCAGAGTCACATTCAAGCAGGATATTCAGTAGAAACTAGAATTATCTTCTCCCTGCATCTCTTTTTTGAGAGCAAAGAAAGCTTTCCCAGAAGTTCCTCCAGCATATGTCTCATGTCTGCTTGGCCAAAGTGGTTCATCCTCACACCTCTAAACCAATCATTACCTAAGGGAAAGGGCCACCTCGACTAGCTTGCCCAGGATTTCTCTCTCTGAGCACAGTACTGCAAAGAAAGGATGGAACCCTAACAAATATGGGACTCTAGCAGCAAAGAAAATGGGAATGGTTGTTGGGTAAGGAACCAAAAGTATCTGTGACATTTAAGACACCAATTCCTTGAGATTTCATCAGGGCTGCTTTAGAATTCCTGCATTTGACTGCAGCATAATAAAGGATGAAGTAACCTCAGTAAGTTTGCTTCCAGCCAAAAGCTGTTATGGAAAACCCACTGAAACCTCATAACAACAATAAAAAGACAGTAAGATGTTCCAAGATGAAAATTAGCACCATGTGTACTGCAGTAGTACTTAATATACAATTATTTAATATACAATTGTAAACATCCTATACTAAAGGAAAAAATATATAAAAGTGCAGTTTGCCTTTTTCAAGAGATTCTGGGGAATTTTAACATACAAGACTTCCATTTGCTTTAGGGCTAAACAAAGCAGTATTACATTTTCCCGTCTTGCCTCTATCCTTAAAAGACCTTATTAAAAGCAACAAAAATGGCACATTGATTTCAAACTCTCATTTACAGTGCATTCAAAAGACTTAACAATTCAATCTGTCTGACTTACTCCTAGGTCCATGTTCTTGGTCATTCTCTGTCAATTACCTAGTATGCACGTCCCTGCAAAATGAAGCCATTTTTTTTTGCATTAGATTTTTGCTCACGGTTCTCCAAAATCTTTTCAACTTGTAACTGTGCTTAGGAGACCAGAGAATGCTAAAATTACAGAGAAAGGATATTGACTTAGGGATTGATTTTAAAATAATTATGGAGCAGCACTATTGGGTTAGAATGTGTTAAAGGATATTAAATAAAATTATATTAAAATGCAATAAGAGGAGAATTCATATTAGTTTATAAAACTCTAACTTAAATTCATATTTGGGCCTCTTGACATTTCAAAACCTCCTGCTTGATCCCCAGCTAGTAAAACGATTTTGCTTTACATTTTAAGAGCCTCCACTTTTCCCCCTAGCTTCTACATTCTCTACTAGCTATTGCACAATGATACCATCAATGATGATTAATACTGGAGATTTCTAGGACAATACATTGTTTGTGAAAATACTGCTATAAAACTATGTGAACACAGAGGGGGAAATTATTAGGAAAAAATAGAACATGGACTTTTACTTGGTCAGAACAGCCATATTTATTCCATAGAAGTGATTGTGTGATATGGTCACTCCCTCTGACTAAATTGAAAAGATTTTAAAATGTAAACTCACAATCTAAGATCATTTATTTCAGATTACTGGACCAGTCAATTTATCTATGAGAAATGGATATGACACTCTTGTCAGAAAGAGTTAAAGGCATAATTTAATTATTAAAGTCATTATTTGAATGCACATTTATACTCCTTGCTTGCAATGTTTGTCTTCTACTTATTCATTTGTCTGTGTAGTCAAACACAAGGTTGAAACATCTGTAATTATCCAAAAGTAGGTCTGTCTATAAACTGCCTTTGAAGAATTAAGCTACCATATTTTATTTGTCAAATTAACTTTTATGTACAAATACCTACTCACAAATGAAATTAGGGCAAATTTTTTGCTGTTATAGAAGTAGTCTGCTCTAAGTCAATACTTAAAACATTTCTACATATTCAAAAGTTGTATTCACTAAGCATATCAGGCCCCTGAATGTGATTAAGATTTACCAAATGGAACAATGATCTCATAGTAATAGTTACTATGATCCTGTCGAAAATAGATACTTGATCCTGTCAAAAAGTGATTTGGCCACAATACCTTAGCAAGACAAGCCACGCAATAACATCAAAAACTGAAAATGGGAATTTGCACTTCTGGGAAAACAGAGTAGGCATACGTTTTCCTATTCCTCCTGCTAAGTACAACTATCAATACTAAAATCCTGGATATTATATATAAAACAAATATAAGAAGACTCGGAAAGGTGGGAAGAAAGCAGATGAGCTAGGGATCTTGGGACCTGAGGAAAAACAAGGTGGTTAGTTGCCTGGGTTTTCTTTTATGCCTCACATATCCTAGACTTGGAACAGAAGTCAGCGGCCCAGAAATGCCCCCATCCAAAACATAATAAGGTAATATAATTGTCTTAGTCTGTTCAGGTTGCTATAACAAAATACCAGTCTGAGTTGCAACATAAATTTATTTCTCATAGTTCTGAAGACTGGGAAGTCCAGACTTTGTCCTCACATGGTGGAAGAGGGCACTAATTCCATTCATGAGGACTCTTCCCTTATGACCTAAACACCTCCCAAAGGCCCCACCTTCCAATACCACTGGGCATTAGGATTTCTACATATAAATTTGGGGGTGGAGGGTGGAGAGGAGAAACAAATATTCTGACCATAGCAATTACAAACAACTCCACACATATAAACTTGGGAACTTAGAGGAAATGGATCAGTTCTTTAAAAAAGAGGAACTACCACAATTCATTCAATATTAAATAATCTTAACTGCCTTATAACTATTAAGAAAATTGAATTTATAATTTAACACACCCCCCCAAATCTCCAGGTCCAGATGATTTCACTGAAGAATTCTACCAAATATTTAAAGAATAATTAATACCAATGCTACATAATAGCTTCCAAAAATAGAAAAGGAGAGAACACTTCCCAATTCATTTTTTAAAGTATTTTTCAATCTATTTTTAAAAATTGAGATATAATTGGCACATACCATTGTTTTAGATGTACAACACAATTATTTGACACAATTCATTTTATGAAGCTAGTATTACTGTGATACCAAAACCAGAAAAAGATAATACACAAAACTACAAACCAACATACCTCATGAATATATGAAAAAATCCTTCAAAATATAAGCAAATCAAATTCAGCAACACATAAAAGAATTATATACGATGACCAAGTGGGGTTAATTCCAGGGATGCAAAGCTAGTTTAACATTCAAAAATCAGTGTAACCCACTATATCAACAGGCTATAAAATAAAAATTATACAATCCTATCAATAGACATAGAAAAAACATTTGACAAATCAACACCTACTCTCATGAAAAAAAACTCAGAAAAATAGAAATCCATGGGAACTTTCTCAACTTGATAAAAAGTATCTACCAAAAACCTACATCTAACATTTTATTTAATGATGAAAAACTGAATGATTTCCTTCTAAGATTGGGAAGAGGATGTCTGTGCTCACCATTCTTATTCAACACAATGCTAGAAGATCTGGCCAGTGCAATAAGGCAAGAAAAGGATATAAAATGAACACAGATTGAAAAAGGAATAAAACTGTCTTTGTTCACAGATGACATAATTATCTATATAGAGAATCCAAACAGTCAACAAAAAACTACTGAAATTAATAAGTAATTATAGCAACATTGTAGGATATAAGGTTAATATACAAATATCAACTGGTTTCCTACATACCAGTAATGGGTAATTGGAAATTGAAATTAGAAATATAATACCATTTAAATTAGCACCAAAGTGCAATACTTAGGTATAAATCTATCAAAATATGAACAAAACTAAATAAGAGGAAAATTTAAAATCTTGGATGAAAGAAATCAAAGAGGATCTAAATAAATGGAGAGATATTCAATGTTCATGGATAGGAAGACTTACTTGTGTAATATTGCTAAGGTGTCAGTTCTTTCCAACTTGATCTATAGATTCAACACAATCCCAATCAAAAATCTCAGGGCCGGCTGAGTGGCGCGATGGTTAAGAACTGGCTTGGCACGCCAGAGAGCCCCGGTTCGGATCCCACATATGAGGGCCAGTGACACTGCCCTCTACAGCTAAGATGCTGAACAACAGCTCAACCTGGAGCTGGGCTGCCA